TCTTTCACAAAAATAGCATAAAAAGATTAACTGTATCTCAATTTTTTTTTTTTTCCTGAACGCTCTTCATCAATCTGTGAGGTAAATTAGCTTTCCTCCTCTTCCTTTCTTTCCTTCTATTGTTTCATCAGTTAATAATTCCTCAAAAATATGTTGTTACTGTTCTTATTATATGGTCAAGGCTGCTTAAGGGGAAGCCAATTTATAGCAACACGTTGACCTGAAAGCTAATGTATGTAGTTTTCTAGCTGATTACAACAGCTGTAAACAGGAAAAAACGACATTTCAACATTTTAATATGAAGTCTGACTATCAAACAAGTTTTAACAAGCAAGTGTATCATTTAAACAAAAACATTTGTTGAAAAAATTCCTAATCCATCTCTAGATTTCTTATTAAAATTTATAATTACTGAGTCTAAGGAGGATAATTAATTGTGATGTTTGTGTGAGATCATTTTTCCCCCCAAGACACTTAAGAGAGATATTTTCCCAGAAGTATCTTAACTATTACATACTTGTCTTCTGTGACTGTGCAACACATATCACCAGTTTTTCTCTTTGTTAGCTGGAAACGATATGAAATCTGACTGTTCTCACAGTATGTGAAATTTGTTTTGGTCCTGTCTGGTACAAGCACAGAAAGACATGTAAAAGAAAGAATTTTATGCCACTCTAAAGATTCCTTCTAAGCCCAGTTGTTCACTGTAAGACAGTATGTGTGGCAGCTAAAGACAGCTACTTTGCCAGATGGTAATCCAATTCAAAACAAGATAGTGTCACTGACTTCAAACTAGGTGAAACTACCTGAAAACTCAGCTCTTTGCATTCACAAACGGTAGCAGAATGTATCTTATTTTTCACATTTAAGTAATGATGCATAACCTTCTGTCTAACCCAGTCCTAAAACTTTTAATATTTTATTTATCCATATAGCTAGAAAACATAATGCTGAATATTTGTTTCCTCTTCAATTTAATCCGTTCTGAATGTCCTAGGAGTGAGGCACTGCGGTTTCCCATGTGTGTGTATGTGTACATGTGTGGGAAGAAAAGTTATTCCTCATGCACACAAACAACCTCACATTCTCATCACCACAGGTGAGATGTTCTGGTTTTGCATTACACTAATTGCATTTTCTTTCTCTTTCTAGGCTGCCTCTGTCATTGAAATGAATTATGTAAATAGTCTCTCTTTCAAGGCTTACTTTTTTTCACCGGGTTAGAAGGAAACAGTGACTGTCGTTAAATTAAAAAAAAATCTGGTATACTGTTGTCTTGCACAATAAAAAGCAACGCACCACAGAACTGTAACTGAAGACAAAAGAAACACCTTGTGGTCACTTTGGTTTTTAGATGGTAATGTCAAACCTAGACAACATGTTTCTTATTTGAACAAAGGCACTTCCAATGTGTAGAAGATATTTAGCATTAAGAAAAATGGAGGATATTTGACAAACAGCAATTTTACTGACGTTTTTCATCAACTTTAAAAAAAAAACCAGAAAAACAAAACCACTATTATTCTTTGTGGTGCAATTCTAATACTCAAACATGTAGACGAGGTTAAATCCGCAGTAACACAGGGATTTGAGTAAGGTTTCTAGTTATTTTTTAGACCTAATCGTTCTTTTGCAATCTGCATTAAAAAACACACAAAAGTAACTACAGGGGTTGCCCAGTGGCAGCTGTAGAGTGTTTAAATGCTAAGAATGGTTAAACTTACAGTGGAGAGAGAGGTGGGACTGAAACAGCCCTCCACACCCTACTTAATCTGGTAACTCTATAGTGCAAAAGTCTGAGATTTCAGACAAGATACTTGATCTGCAAACTCCAGGAACTCCGTGGTAACATTCTTTTGCTCTGCTCTCCAAAGAAGAAACAAAAGCATTCAACCAGAACACCTGGTGTGTTTTCCTTGCAAAAGATTTCCAAAAGAAGCACGAACACAGGAAGTGACACCCTAATATCCACAGTAGTTGATTTGAAATTAACCCCACAAGCAGGTCAAATGACCACATACCTTACTTTTGCAATATAGGATTTTTGGAATCTCCTGACAGGAAGAGAGTTGAGGCTGGCTACAGCAAGCCCAGCTAATTCCCAGGTTATCTGCACATATTTGCCCCATGCTGCCTCCTTCCAGGACCTACGGGACAGCACAGCCTGCCCCTGCTGCCCCATTCCCTACCCAACACTACAACGGCTGGGGCAGGCAGGTCTCACCCCTTCCTCCACCTCTCACTGCCTCCCAGGAATGGGTGGTTACAAAAGAGTGAAGGGAAGTCATTTGTCTAGAGCTACATTAAAAAATTAGGTGTTTTACAAGGCTTAAATACAGGTTGCAAAAGTCACTGTGCATGTTCCTGTGAGAATAATTGGGTTTGCCTGTTAGTCATTCCAGTTTCAGAACTGCTGAACAAACAATGGGAATTCAATCTGGATTCTCTAAGCAAAAACACAGTATTCTTTTTTTAATATACTTTCTCAGCTATTAAAAAAAAAAATCTTGGCCAACATTCTTTTGTTCCTCAATGAAGTGTGGTAGGCTGCCTAATTTGACAAGAAAACCTCAAAGACTCCTTTCTGCTGCATCCAGACTAATTTGGCTGTTAATGTTCCATGAAAGAAATGAATCTTTAGAACATAATCTTATCTATCTTTTAAAGCCTGATATTTCCATGGCACGGAAAAATTGTTAGGATCTCATATTTTCCTCCCACTATGATAGGGAAGTGTTGTGGTTTAACCCCATTCAGAAACTAAGTCCCACACAGCTGCTCACTCTCACCTCCTCAGTGGGACAGGGAGAGTAAAAATGAGAAAACTTGTGGGTTGAGATAAAGGCAGTTTAATAGGTAAAGCAAGAGCCGTGCATGCAAGTGACTAAAACATTCCTCTGTCATCAGTGTTGTCATTGGCACAAATCCAAAACACAGCCCCATACTAGGTACTAGGAAGAAAATTAACTCTATCCCAGCCAAAACCAGAACAGGAAGATGGTCTCCTTACTAAAAATACAACCACAAAAATACAAATATGATTATAAAGCTCTTTTTTTACAAATTAAGAGCATTGATTTTTTTTGTTACGAAGTTGAGCACATAACGTACAGAGTAATAACTACTGAAATACAGATACACATATGGAAATGGTAAATCATGAACAAGAACACAGGTTATTTAGAATTAAAACAATTCACTAGGGTCTACTTCTTCCACAGTTCATTTGCTCCTAACTTGAGAAGTACCTTGGGTTGTGATTTTTTGCCTTAAACGTTCTCTTTTTGTGACCATTTAAAAGCCAGAACTTAATTTAAAAAGATGTATACATATTAAAAAAAAAATGAAAGAGAGAGAGACAGAGTAGGACATTAGTTATGTAAACATAACTCATTTCCCCAGGTAAACCAAGCATGCTGAGGTCAGCTATTCACTCATCATCATCTTGAATACTTTCACTAACAAAGATAATTTTATTAGAGCAGCTTGTTGTCAATCACCAAACTCCATGGCCTGAATCCCACAGCTCTGCTCCACACAGCAGCACCACTGACTGTCCAGGATTGGTTTGGTACTGCAAGAGGAATGTAGAATTGCATTTATGAACCTGATATAAAAAATATTTGACATACACGAATGTATTAACTATAAAGGACATAGAAGTTATATAGAGGGATGAATCTCTACAGTGTTTCCACAGGAACTGTACCACCAGACACAAGACCTAATCTCACAATTTATACCGGTGTGCATAAAGGATTTTTGATTCAACAGGACCAAACCATACTTTGTTTCTGAGAAAAGCTGCCATGCAGTGAAGGGACTCACCTTATTCACAATTTTGTAGAAAGAACATAGGTAGCAGAAAGATGTCTGGTGACCAGCTGCGTTCCCAGTGAAGGTGAGAGCACTCCTTCAAACTTCAACAATAGCAGAAGTGGGAGTAGTAATATATAACAATTAGAAAGACAAAAGATTACAGACTGAAAAATAGTTTCAGTTTTACCATAAACTTACCTTCAGCAAGCCAGTAACTTGTGTAGCTGTGACTTGGCAACTCCATCTTCACAGGAAATTTACTGAATTCATAGGACTATATCAAAAAAATGTATCATCATCAAGAAAATGGAAACTTTTCCAATCAAGTGACATGAAAGCATTCAGTATATTTAATCTTCTTATCTTTTATACCAATTCAGTTAACCCACGTGCTGATTCACTAGTTTCTAATTCATCAAATATTTATTTTAGTCAGCTTAAAAATTGTCCAGGAAAACAAGTACAACACTATTTTTAAGAATGTCCATTTTTCTCCTTTACTGAAAATGCAATACAATATTTCCCCCCATGTAATGAACATGGCAGTTTTCATCAGGTTTGTACCAAGCGGAGTACTGGACGTTTTCTAGCCTCTTGTTCAAAATACACTCTGAAAATGCATATTATATTATTCACAATGAATAAATATACATTTTTCTTGGAAAATCACATGTAGAAAACATTACACACGAGTGATAGAGCACGTGCTAAAACTATACTAATAATTCTCCTTAAATCCTAATACTTTTAAATGCCAAAAAACTTTACCATATGCAGACATAACAAAATCACTTTGGTGTGTAGGCAGATCATGCTTAAACTGGATTTCCACAGCACAGACAAATGTTACAGATATATTAGTTGAGGATAATATTGATTGTAGCTCTGGCATTGTTCCGCAGAAACATAAACAACACTCTTCACTGTAAAAAAGTATGACAAATCAAGTTGTCAGACTACATCATTCAGAAGCAATCACTGTTGGGGCAAAAGTTTCTGGCACAACTCAGTGTTACAACCAAGTGTTGCTTAATATAACCTTATGCATTATAAAAAGAAAAGCCCTAACTTTCCTCCTTATCCAGAATCAGGTGGTGCAACACTATCTCCTGTCTCCCCAGATGTATTAGAACCTGCTCAATACAGCAAATATGGTTCTAAAACCCAACCGTCAGCCAGGTCCTTTTCATCTGAGCCTATTTTCAGGAGGCTCTTGTTTGTGGAAAATAAACTATTTCAGTTCAAATGATTAGGATGCCTGAAATATTCCAGAAACTTCTGTCTGGATGAGTTTAGTTCAAACTGCAGTTGTAATCTGTGTCAGTCCTAGGTCGTTGGACTCTTCTCTCTCTTGAGGACAGTAAGATGTCATTTCCACGACTAGTCATACAGGTTTGTTTGTCCCATCTGCTTCCCTCATATAAGCCGCGTCTTGCACAGTGTTTCTGACTCTGCTGGTGCTCTGCCTGTCCATCCTCATCTTAAAGGGGAAGCAGAAGTCCTTGAAGCATCTCTTGAAGTTTTCATCCAAAAATGCGTAAAGGATTGGATTGAGGCTGCTGTTGGTGTAACCCAAAGCAATACAGAAGTAATAGCTGGATATAGCAGCAGTGCTGTGGGACACATCCCCTAAAGCTTCAGCCAGCACAAAAATGTGAATAGGAGTCCAACAGATAATGAAAACTGCCACCACCACAAGAACCAACCTGGTGATGCGACGCAGGTTTCGATCTTTTTCTCGGGACCCGGAGAGAAGCCGTACGCTTTTAAGGCGCAGGATCATCAGAGTATAGCAAACAATTATAATGAGCACTGGAATAACAAAGGCAAAGACAAAGACACAGATTTTCATGAAGATGTCCCACCACACATAATCTCTGTCTGGAAATTGCAAGGAGCATTCAGTGCTAGCAGTATCTAGGAATGAAACAAACAGAAGAAGAATATTATTTTATTATTAGATATTCTAAACAATGCAATTATCACAGCATAACCTGCATGATACTAATAAATGGAGTTATTGTTAAATCACGCAGAGAAAAACTTTCAACTACCGTTGAAACTGGTTTTATGCAGCTGTCTCTAGAAACGCCTTAGAGAGAAGAGCTTTTTAAAATGCATAACACTGTACAAAATCTGTTTCCCATGGGAAGATCTAAAAATGCAGAGCATAAAACCAAAAAATTTTAAAGATGTTCCCACTCATATTTCACTGAGATTTAAAGCCAGGAGTACCATGCTCAATGGAGTAGAAATCTCGTCATTATTATCAAACTACATATGCTTTTGTCTGTGGGCAGAGACAGATTTTCGGTATCGTGAATGGTGGGAGCTGAATGATTCTAACAAGATTTTGCCCATATATGTTAATTGTGTAATGATCTTTTCCTACTTGCCTTCCTCAGTGCAAATGGCATACACGTGCTTGCATTCAGAAAGACTTATTTCCTGGCAACAGCTTCTTTTCAGTCAGACATAAGCAAATAAAACCTGTGTGTGCATGGAGTCAAAAGGAAGCCGCTCTTTTGCAGATCGTGTAGTTGAAAATTCAGCCTGTGCAGAGGCTGCAGGATTTGGGCCACTGACACCAGATGACTCTCTCTGGTTGCCCATGCCAGGATTCAGACTCACAGGCTGTCACTTGATTTTATGTCCCAGACATATTCCATCTGACAGGAGGAGGCTGCTAAAGAATGAAATATTTGAGGTTTCATTTGCTGGCCACATTGGAGCCCTCCAGCATATAAACCATGCAGAAAACGGAGAAACAAGATAAACGGCAAAGGCAAGAGAAGTGGTAAATTTATAACTACTTTCAGCAGTTAAACTCTCCTGAAGACAAGTCGAAGTAACACAGGGATTGTTCACTCTGAATTGTGTCTTAGATTTTATCCTTGAGCACTGTGTTATTCCTTGGATTTTCTTTCATTTTTCTTACTGAATTTGTCATCTAAAAATTATTGTGTGCTGGTTTCACTGAATCACCTGTAAGGATGGAATGATTCAATATACTTCTGCACATCACTTTTTCATATCTATCTCCAGCAGAACAAGTCAGAAAAATTCCATCAAGCCCTATTTCCCTGTTATCAAAATGCTTCACGAATCAAGATGACATTGCAGAGTTTGGTTTTAAAAACGGCTGGAGGGGAAGTTATCATTATGGTATCATACAGACATTTCCGCAGTTAAATATGAGAGAGTTGTTACTGGGCGCTATTGGATACTAAAACATTCAAATTAAAAAGTTGAATTCAAAGGCTAGTATTTTGGGGTTTATTTCAAATAACATAGTAAGGGATTATTCTGAAAAATGAAAAGTGAAAAGAGAACTGTTTCAAGCCTGATAGAGGATGCTAATCTGACAGCACAAGTATGACTTAACAGGGTCTTGACAATCAACTTTTCTAAATCCTTTGTGACCTAGCTTTTCATAAGTGTAGCTTCTTTTACTTAATTTTATTCTACAAATGTCAACAATTGTCTTCAAAGAAGTTTTCACATCGATTATTACTGTTATTTGTAGTAGATCATGGCCTAGCAGCGGCAATAAAATCAGGGGGCAGCTTTAAAATCCAGACTAGTAAAGCTGCATCTGAATGCGCAGTTCTGGATAAAAGTGAGATGTGATCCAGAATGACAGCTCAGGACCACACACAGCTACTTGCTGAATCCATTTACATTTTCTGAGTTTAAACCTGGAAAACAATCAACAAATATCCTTGTCATAATGCACAATATCATAATAATTATTAGGAACTTCAGAAGATAATAAAATTCAATTTATATTTTATTGTTGTTGCCTGAAAAGATGCGGAGCTAAGTACAGTGTCACAAACTGAGTACTTAAGATTTCATTCTGACTTTTTCCACTTTGTAATGCAAATATTCCAAATATAATTTTTTTTTTACTCTTTGATAAGTTAATATTTAAGATTAATCTTAATCTTGACATAGGAAATGTATTTCTGTTAGATACATTATTGGATATGTTACTTTCAGGCATCCACACTCCTCAGTACTTAAATGAAACCTTCATACTATTACTGGGAATGCTAACAGTACCTCTCATTTTTAATTTTTTTTAAGTGAACGATTCTTCAGCAAGAAAGGCTCGATTGAAGCCAGAGATGGAATATTTCACAGATATAAAAAATATTCTGTGGGGAAAATGTGTCCAGAAGGACACCACTGGGAGCAATGCTGTACTGTGAGAACAAAAGCGACTGAGTATGGGGTGAGAATTTTAAATATAATAACTTTCCATTTGATGTTCAGTTGTTGTTTAAATCTGAATCCAACAGAGGCCCTATAGCATATTAATTTGACCAACATAACATAAAGTCCTGAGCTCCAGCTGTCAGACAAAGAGAGGATTTTTGCTTTTCCCCTTCAGCATTTATCAGAGCAACTCATGAGCACACTAGACAAGATAATTGCCAGTAAATGCTCAAGAGAGACCTTTGATCAGACAAGCAGAGCTGAACGGTAGTGTTTGACAAGCATTTGCCAGTAATTTCCAACCTCACTTGGCCCAGCTGAGCTGTCTATCACTAGTCTCTGTTTCAAGAGCAAAAAAAAAATCAGCCTGCCACGTGGTGTGGAAAAGACATTTAATCATTTTTGGGCTCAGAACAGCCCCTTGATATAAATTTGATGCTTATAGTGCATGACACCTGACTGAGCCAATGTCTCATGGCCTTCAAACCACGTGTAGCGATACAATCGTTCTTCTCAAATGAAGAAGCCTGGAAGTGAATGATCCCTGAGAGCTGGACGCTGCCTTATAGACCCTGTCAAAACGTTACTGAGGAGACCAGTAGCAGCACTGCTGACTAAGACACTTGATCCCCCAAAGCACTGAATTAAGAGCTTCCAGGGGACTCTCCTGTCACCTCCCCATCAGAAGAGAAATAGCAATAACAAAATCTGTACATCTTTGGCCAAATGAATCAGCCCTTGAGGAGCTGTTACTGACCTCTTCTGTTTGCACTGATCTGTGCCAAACAGTTTAACACAGAGCATTTATTGTCTCTGCAAGATAAAAAGTATCCTTCTCTGAAGTTTACTGTTTTTCCTAGGAGGAGTGAAACCTTTCTGATAGAAAAGGTTGTTAATTCAGAAAATTATTAATAATTTTTCAAAAGATTATTTACATCTCAAAAACCACTACCACCAAAAAAATACGCATGTCTTGTATTTTATCAAGCCATTCATTAACATGATGGCCCCAACCCAAGGACATCGTTAAAGGTCTCCAACCTTTTGAGGACACTGAGATACTCCTGCACCACAGTCATGCCTGTGAGTACAAAGCATATACATGTGAAAACCTTTCTCCCCTTTCCTTCTCAAGGAGGATTTCAAAATGAGATTAACTCCATAGCAGGGCAGCTTTGGTAGTGAGTCATCAGTTACAGGAATTAAATCCACAGTCCCTCACAGATTATAACTTCCAAGTAGAGTCTACAGGTGGTTTATGTACAGATCTCATTGACCTCCCGTTCTTGTAGCTGCTTCCCTGCTGTGGTCTCTATTACCAGTTTCTCTGTTGATCCTTAGTCTCAGCTTTTCCAATTCTCCATATACATACCCACCCTTTTTAAAGAAGGATTTGAGATACTGTCATATAGAATTTGCCCTGATTTTCTCTCTCCAGCTACTGACTTTTCCTTTCTTCAAAATCTGTGAAATGGCTGTTGATAGTAAGCTCCCAAGTCTTAATATTAATGATAGATATTAATACTAACGACAAGCAGTCTAGTTTCTGCTCTCGAAAAATTCATCAGAACTACTCTCACAACATATGCAAAAAAAGCACCTTAAGCCCACATTTCAAGTTTCATCCTAAACTGATCTTTGATCTACACACTGATCAAATTCGTGATAATTTTCCACTGCTCTCTGCTAGCAGGTTTTGATGGTCTCATTCTAGCACAATGTTTCAAAGATAATTTTGTTCTTTTAGTTGGCCAGAGCATCTGATATTAAATGCTTTATATGTCATACTGTAATGTTCCACTCTATATTTCAAAATGTCTGAAATTTAGACAAACTTTCTGAAGAAGAAATCAATCAAGTTCTATCAACAGTTGAAGCTATATTTTATGTCATTTGAGAAACATAAAGACTGAATTTTGAATGCCCACACTCACCCTCCCTGACTTTGGTGCCTCCAAGAACTATTGCAGATATACCAACAGATGAGGATAAGAGCCAGATACAGATGTTGATTATCTTCGCCTTGAGAGGTGTGCGGAAGTCCAGAGCTTTCACAGGGTGACACACGGCAATGTATCGATCAACGCTCATCATGGTCAGTGTGAATATGCTAGTAAACATGTTATAATAGTCAATTGAAATAACTATTTTACACAGCACATCACCAAAGGGCCAAGAGTTCATCAGGTACTCAGTGCTTTGGAAAGGCATAGTTGTGGTAACTAGGGCATCTGCCATAGCCAGATTGAAAATGTAGATGTTGGTTGCTGTCTTCATCTTTGTGTACCTGAAAAACAAAAAAGGAAGGCTTTATTATTTCAAAATAGGATTATGCACATTTAAATATGGAAGAGTTTATCACTTGGGCTTTGCTATATTTGGAGTCCTTTCCATCATTTCTAATTTATGACAGAAATACGCACAAATGCAAGACCCTTGGGATAGTAATAAACACATTTGACTCAGCACCTGCATTAGCAGTTAGAACTATCCAACACAGGCAAATGAATACATTTAATCTAATTTAATCTAAGATAAATACTAGTTTTAATTCTACCTTCTCAAATCCTTCTAAAAGAAAATATCATTGTTACTTTTGCAAGTGATCAAAATATTTTGTGTTTCCTTTTCTTACAGCAAAATATCAGTGATTGCAAGCTTTTTGGATTTGTTTTGTGGAAGAAACAGCTATGACACTCTTCGGTAAGAATCCATGCTAACTTGTTACACCTGCTGGGCCAGATTGCCTCTTATTTGATGATAGTTTCTCTTCCTTGAATTCACTACAGCAATGCCAGCTTATACAAGTTTTAGTCTTTTTTTTTTTTTTCTTTCTCCTTCGTTTTCAATTTCTACTCCTTTCTAACCATTAGCCTTTCCCAGTCTTCTCTTTTATGACTGCCAATGTGAAATATTACTATTGTTTAAGTAGGATACCACAGTGGGGAAAAAATATTTTTTTCTGCATCCTTCAATCTCACAAAAATTAAACCCTTGTTTCATCCAGCTGGTAAGAACCACAGCCTACACAGAAAAATAGGATCTGGTTTTTTGAGGTGGCAATCTATTTGTTCTGCCCCCGTGATACTTGGGGAGACAGCCTGTGTCCCAGGATGTGGCGTACTCTTTCTAGCTCTACTACGGACACAGAAAATGAAGGAGAGCCTGTTAGCACAAGGATATACCTAACTTTCCTTTCTGAAAGACTTCCCCACATCTAGTTACTATTGCTTATTGCTGCTAATTTATTATCAGATTCAATGACAGATTTTCTTTCTCAAAGGTTTCAGCCCAATATTTTGAATGTGTGCCCACACTAAAATGAGCACAAGCAACACTCAGAAACACATCTGGCTAGATTTTGCTATATGTCATTAATAATTTACAGTGGAATCATAAGATTCTATCAGTTCAGCTCACAAACATGTAGGACAGTGTGTCTATTTGCCTTTTAAACTGTGATGCATTGAAAAATCATGCCAAATACGTAAACTATTAATTAAAATATGGACAGAAATGTCATTTTATGGCCAATACAAAATGTTAAAAATAACATCAGTTTTTCTAAAACACTCTAATTACAAGTTACTGAGAAACTAAACCAAACACTGGTTTGAGGGAAGCAGAACCACAAGAGAAAAGAAAGTGACACCTCACCCAGATACCATGCCTGGGCTCACACCTTGGACAAAGCCAGAGCCAGTGAAGCATCAGAAATCTCTGAGTAGACAGCAGAAAAAACCAAAAGCTCTGCACTGAGAGTGTGACCCTCACAGTCCAGACTCCTGCTGCCCTGGTCTGAGTTTCTCCAAGATCAAAAGAAGAGCAAGGAGGAACCTGCCAGTCAGATCTGGGCTTCCACCCCCTTCCAGATCCATCTCGTGACCAGCCTGCCAGCAGAGGAAGTTGTCTCTCCTGCAGGTCACATTAAAACCTGTAAGGCACTGTCCAAACACATATACAAGAGTATATAACTAGAAGAAGCAAATATAAGACACATGAACAGACCAGGAACTTTCCTCTCCGTACGGGGAAAAAAAGAAGAAAAAAAAAAAAAGTAGCTCCAAATCTATCTCAGATGTAAGGCTGGACAAAACTTCACTAAACATTCAGATTGCCGATCTATGTTAAAAGGGACTAATTTTCATCAAATGTCTGAAAAGGAATAGTAAAAAGGTGATTTTACTTCTATGGACATCACTGCATCACTGGTGATATTTGGAACTGTTGTCGTGTTCATACTGTGAAGAAAAAAAAAGAAGAAAAAATGGAAAAGATGCATAAAAAGCACCTCCAAAATAAGTGAAATGACTGGAGAAAATTCTTACTATGAGTAACTTAAAGAGCTCAGCACATTTAGCTTATCAAAAAGAACACTGAGAGGTGACTTGATTATAGTGTCTGAAGACCTTCATAGGGAGAAAATAGCACGCACTGAAGAGCTCTTTCAGACTGCAAAGAAAAGCATAACAAGGACAAATATGTAAAAGTCAGAGCCAGACAAACTCAGCTTAGAAACAATGATGGATTTTTCCTAACAGCTAAGGTGGTTATTACTGAGAACAAATTACACAAGAAAGGAGTAATTTTTCCATCTTTTGATGTCTCCGAATCAATGTCTGCTGCTTTGCAAAGAGTGTACTTTAGTCGAATACAAGTTACTAGACTCGATACAGGAATATTTAAATGAAATGCAACGGTCTGTGATAAGCAGAGGTGAGGTAACTAACAGATCTTCCCAGTCACTACTTCTTTAGGTCTTTAAAAACTTCCCCAAGGGTTTAAATAGAGAAAGCTTGCTTTCACATATATAAGAATTATTTAGACTTTTTTTTCTTAAACAAAATCAGAAAAGTAGTGAAAAATAACTAAGAGGATTTTAATAGCCTTGAAAAATCAAATGTCTTTATATCTGGCATTCCCTGTTCCTTGCAACCTTATTTCAGTTCTTTTGTGTGTGTGACACTGACCATATATACCATATTTTCCCCATATCCTTTTCCCTTTGCCCCCAGCCTTCCAGTGGCAGAATAGGAAAGACTCTCTGTAAAATAAAACTAGTCTTTTAGGTAACTTCAAAATTCAAATTTCGCATATGTACTACTTACATTATATATGTAATGTGAGCAATTTTGATTTCTTGGACAATGTAACACGTGCACATCTAAGAAAAATAATCTTCCTCACTGCTATTGGTTGAACAGGAAGGATCTCTTGTCATTCACAGATAGTAAAAAATATAGAGTCATCCCAGAATCATTGTTCAGACAACCTCTAATGTGACCAAGAGAAATCTGTATATGGGATTTAAAATACAACAGGGACAAGAAAAGCCCACAGTGTGCCATTCCTCCCATAAAGCTCTGTGAAAGCCCTGGCTCATTTCAGGGGCCCATATGCACATAACAAACCCAGCTCTGATAACATTACCTGTTGTGCATCTAATGCTTCCCCACAGCTCAGCAGCCTGGTAGTCCTGAAACGAGCTAACCCTGCCTAAATCCACCCTAGTTCACAGAGCACAGGTGCCTCTTTGCACCACTTGCCAAAATAAACACCTTGATGCCTTCTCTGCCAGACTGTGAACAAGAAGGCAGGAGATCAATAAATTCTGCTCCAATAAATATTTATTACATTTAGGCAGTCAGTTCTGCCAGGCACTGCACAGGGATCATGCATGCCTAACTCAGGAAAGAAAGGTGCACTGATTAACCTAAGCAATTCTAAGTCCAAGCACATTTTACTGATGCAACCTTAAAACTCGTTGATCTCTCACTAATAGTGTAAAGGGCCTGATTACTTTCACCTGAAAGGATTGGCTTCATTGTAAGTAAGATGTTGGCCTCTAAAGATCTTAGGCAGCATAGATTAAATCATACATTCACTTAGAAGTTCATAAAAATCAGAAATGCATTCAAGAATCTGGACTCAGCCATCCAAACTCCTTGCAATGTTTTTAATTAAATATCTAAAAATTATTAAATGCCTCTGAAGACACATGCTTTCAGGCTTAATCAAAAGTCCAATTAAACTAACCAAGTGACAGCTATTGCTGTCACTTTCAAGTGGACCCTGATAGCATCTTGACTCAAACATGAGATGAGGGATTTAACTGCTCTTAAACAACTCCTTCTATAGCACCAAAATAGAGAAGGCAATAATTTACATGGTTTGGGGTTTTCCTACCACACCTTCCATTCAGCCAAATCTCCCACTGAGCAAGGTCAATACAGTGATCAAGTAAGGCAATCTTGTCTTCCTCTGCAAAATTAAAATTATTGATTTAATATTTGAATTCCATTGACAGAAAAAATACTGCTATCTGGTTTTATTAGTTTAGCAGATCAGATAGGGGAAGCCTGGACATAACTACAGTGTAGACAGCACAACGGTAATTAATGACAAACATTTTCTTAGTGTCTTTGAGGTGTAAGTTTCAAAGACCATTAAAATATTTATAAACCATTGCTGTATAAAATACTTATGGGAAATCCCATATCTAGAAGATGGTTTGTTAAATACTGAGACTTCATAACAAGGTGACTTTTCTAATTCTACATAGGAATGGAAGGTCTTTCCTTGTATCAGGTGCTAGAATCTAATTTCAAAAGGCAGAAAAAAACAATGTTGACTTAAGATGTTTGGTGGATCTCAAAACTGCTTGTCAAGCTCTAAGCAGGCCTCAAGCCTCTGTAGTCTTGATATAACTGAAGGATATCTAGACTGCAGAAAAATAGTTGAGATAAACAAAACTTTGGTTTGGATGTATTTTCTTGGTGGATATGATGAGAGTTTTTAAGGAGGAAGCTTTAAATGATGTCTACTTACGTGTCAAAAGTAAAATTCTCAAAACTATCGCATTTTAGGCTAAGCCCAGTTAGAGAGGCTGACTTTAGACTGACTCTTAGAAAATTTCCCACATTTTTCAGTTAACTCATCATTACTGTACTTTTCTTTCTGGAGTAGAATTTTATCTGCACATTTTTTAAGACAGTAAATAGGAAAAAAACACACTTCTATTCTAAGCTTATCAATTAAATTGTGGTAACAGAAGAAGGAAACATGCTCTTAAGGAGTTGGTATGCTTTCATAAAAAAATTAAAATGCTAGTAGAGCCCCTTAAAGCTATTATCTAAAACAAAGTAGAGAAGTGTGATATTGAAGTACAACATAACATTAGTAAAGCTAATAAAGGCTGAGAAGGAGGCTCTGGTCTATTTTTTTTTCACGTAACTATATCAGGCTGAAATGTCCCCTGGGGAGGGGAGCAAGACTAACAAATATAGT